ACTCTTTCAAACTGGTTATTATTTGAATTACAATAATGTTCAGATTTGAATTAATGCTTTGGCTCTCCGTCTGCCTGGGGATGTACATACACACCGGGAGACAATCCACACCCTGAGGAAATTCTCCTCTGTGAAGATATGGGTTAGTGGACTTTAAAAAAAATGAACTTTTCAATTAAGAGAGACTTAGGTATAAAACATATTACTAGTTCTCCTTTAACCACACATCCATTTTTTTAAAGTTCCTTTGCATCAGAAGTTAACTGAATATTTTCCTGTTTCAATTCCCATCTTTACTCCTATAAATTATAACTGTCTAGCATACTCCTAGCAACTCCCATGTGGATGGATTAGTTCCACTTAAATTTAGGAGTAGATTTTGACATGCTATAAATCTGTTCAATTGCAGTCTACTGCTTCAAGCAAAGTTACCCCAGATTTCCTATAGTATAAAAGATTAAAATATGATTTTTTATGTGAACAGTGCCTTTGGTTTAATACAGAGTTTAGGTCTATAGTCATAATGCTGTATTTGTGAGGTGATATACAATGACTCAACATAACTGGACTATTCTTGAGGTGCCATCTCTGGCACTGAATTTAGTTGCCTGAATTTGAGGATTTTCTTTCCTTGTATGTTTAATGTGGTCTCTAGAAAGCGAGCCTTTCTGCTCTCTAATAAGTGAATGGGGGCCTGGGCACCTAGTTCTGATAGCTAATTTAGCTCTGCAAAATTGAATATGGTCTGAATAGGTCCTCAAAAACTGCTTGCCTTTTTTTTTTCTTTTGCCAGGCATTTCTGAAGTCAAGTAACTCTGCTGATTCTCACGATTTCAAACCTGATGATTCTGCATAAGTTGGGTATGCATCCAGCCAAGCTGTCCAGCTGGCCTCCCAAAAGCAATTACTGACCTGTTAAGTACCTGAGCTTCAGCCAGAACAGAAGCAGCACCACAGGAATTGGTAAAATTCAGTTCTAAATCTGAAAACTAAATATAGATACACACATATGTGTGGAAAAAGAAAACAACAAGCAAACTACTTATTTCCATTTGAGAAAATGATGCAAGGTTAATGAACTGCTGTAGCATACTGGCCTGATCAGACAGTAGAAATGGCAAGAAAATTGCACTGGAGGTTGGGGACCGAAAGCAGAGGTGATCTGAAGTCTGAGGTGGCACAGGCAATCGGGAAGCAAAGGCAGTACCGCTGGATGTGATTCTTTCTGTTCCTGATGTGCTGAGTTCAATAGCAGCTCAACTACACTGATGTGATGCTGCTTGGACACCCTTGCTCACATTCCTTTTCATATTACTATTAAATAAAAATACTACGATGATGCCCCAAAGCCTCAGTGTGATTTAGAAATATCTACCCTTCAGTCATTTTTCCTCTGCTGATTCCAACCTGTCCATTGAGAAAACTTTTTCAATTTGCCCTGCCTTCCAATTACTGGCAGTGTCAACAAATACTTGCTCCTCAACACCCAGCGCTCAGAAACCTCTGCTGCACACACCTTACCTATTTCCTGGCTCCTCCTGTGCAAAGAGACAGATAAAATGATCTGTCCCATTTTCCTCTTCAACAGCCTTTTGTCCATGATAGATTTGGAAATGACAGTCCTTCAGCTTGTGAACTGACATTTCAGACAGTGAAACATCACACCTTCCCCTTTCAAGTTCTCAGCACAACATGAGCACCCAATATTCCCTGCACTCCTGTACAGAGCACCTACAGTTTGTCAATTAACAGTTTAATGACCAAAACAATGTAACTATTTGTTTAAAGGGACCTGGAATGTTTGCATTTTAATTTTTTATTCCTATAAGACTTTCTGATAAGATCACAGTCCCCTTGCCAAATGATTCTTTGCAAAACTGCATTCTAAAAATAGATTTGGGTAAACATTAAGAAGACCTGTTTCTGTAAGGATTAACTAAAATAAACTATCCAGGAATTAATCTGGATTACAACCAAGAGGAGGTTGTAGAAGAGTGGCATCCTGGAGCACCACTTCTCCAGGAATGGTGCAGTAGGGCGAGGGTTGTGTCAGCCTTGAAGAGATATTCAGTTTAGAAAAGTAATTATTGATGGTACTGACAGCCAAGGATGAATCCAGCTTTAAGACTTTTGTTGCTTTTACTAGTTTCTCTTACTAAGGATAGTAGCCTTCTCTAGCAAAGCTGGGGACTGCACCCCTGCCATGCTTTGGCTTACCTGTCCTACAGTAGCCAAAATCTTCCTCCTTAGTCATGTTTCTCTAAACTCCTGTGCATGTACAGTGCCACAAGCCGGTTCCTCCTATGCATAACCTGGCTCACCACCAGCCACATCGCCCCAGTCTTGCCTGCTTTTTTCCCCACCTCTCTTTGAATATTCACTACAGATTCATTGCAACTTAATCAAAATGCTTGCCTCTCCAACGGGATCACCTGCCGCCATCCAGTCCCAATTCACATCCCAACAGCCCTCCTGCTACTCACTCACTCACTCACTCACTCACTCATGGGTGACAAATGGGAAAACACTATTTTCCTATTTTTTTCACACTACGGGCAAACACTGGGGTTGTGTGAAAGTTGCTACAGACAGTTTTTATTTCAGCTGCAGTGCCACACAGATGAAGGAGGAGCATCAGCCGAGGTGCACAGGAGAGGTGAAGGAAATACAGCCGTGCTTACAGCCCGGGACTGCCTGAAGTCTCCTTGTGAAACATGCTTCTCCTGCTTTCCACAGAAAAGCACAACTGATGGCAGTTCTGATCACAGCAAGATGATGGAGATCCCCTATTAGGAAGAATAATGTGAAGTACAGACAGGATCTGTCTTTTCTATGTGTTAAGTTTAAATTGTTCTGATTTCTGTGAGTTTTTAAATCTCCCAACTTGTTTACTCTAACAGCATCCTTGTGACATAGTCAATCCACTTTATACATAGAAACCACATCCAGAAATGTGACACTACACACAAAAATGGCAGCAAAAACCTCTGACCTTGGGTCTTGGCACATCATCACTCTCAGTTCTGGGCAGGTTTCAGCAAGCTGTATGACATTTCCTCAATATTCTAACAGGATGTGTGTGGTTGCTTTTTTAATGTCACAAATAGAAAAAACTAAATTAGC